TTTTTTCCCATGGCTGCTTGTGACCCCACTGCAGTCCCCACGCGCCTCTATGGAGTCACGTGACAGCAGGGACCCGGGTGCAGGCTGCCAGAGGGACAGGGGTCTCCCTAGCCCCTGTGCGGAGAGGACTGGCAACATCCCAGTTCCAGAAACTGCTCTTTGGGAAGCAATGGCGGTAAACACACAGATAAGGGCATTTACTAGGTGCCAGGCACGGTCTGCCGCCGCCACTGACTCACCCTGTCTAATTTTCAGGCAGCTCCCGGTTCACGCCCAGACACTGCCCCACACTGCCACCACACAAGCGGGAAAAGCACGGCGAGGGACGGTCCCACATGTCGTTTCCCAGAGAGGAGGCCATGCAGCTCCAGGCCCCATGGCAGACGTCGGCGAGGTCCTACAGCCACGCTTTTGACGCTGACTCTGACATACTGGCAAATGCTACTGGTGTAAGGCTGAGTGACACGCACAGGACACAAAACCATGCGAGAGAAAGCTACGTGCATGCGTGCGCGCGTGTGTGTGTATGCACACTCATCCGCACACCCTTACGTAAGAAACATCGGCCAGCTGGGCCCTCCCTTGGCATGGGCTTTCTGCCGGGCGGTGGGATAATGGATTCTTCTCTTATCATCCTGATATTTTTCAAATTTTCCACAACAAATAGTTCCCTTCTATAAGCAAGGAAGACACCCCCTGGTTCCGGAAGCTGAGGTTAGCGATCGATCCAGAAGCTGCTTAGGAGGCGGGTGTGCATTTCCATAAAACCCCCGGGAGGAAAGAGGTCGCTGCCATTTTTATTCAGAAGGAATGCTCTCTGGCACACAGCCAAGTACATAAGAAAATTAAACGACGGTTACCCGGAGGATGGAGATGGAATTGAAATAGCACATGGCGGGGGATGGGCTGGAATGGAGGTGCAGGGAGGAAAATCAAAGAAAAGGGAGGTGCAGTGGGCCTGTGGGTGCAGGGGCTCCCCTAGGAAGCCAAGCGCTGGGCATAGAGCACTCTACCCAGCCTGGGATGTCTGACCCCCAGGTGTCCCGCGTCCTGTGTCCTGAGCCATGCGCACTCAGCTTCCGCAGGAGGGAGGGGTTGGGGGGCTCTGAGGGGCCGCAGAGCTAGGGGGCATCCTGATGGGCTTCCAGATACGACTCAGTTTCCCCCGGTGGACGGGCTCACCTACGCCTTCTGGACATGGTCCCTCCGGGAAAACCAAGCATCAGGTCACCTCCTGGGTGGCCCCCGCCCCGCCCACACTGCCTGGCAGCCCAGCCCTCTCCCCAGCTCCCCAGAGCAAGCAGGCGGGGCCTCCCCAGGTCAACTTGGGGTCACGGCACCCTGCAGCAGCTGTCACTCGGAACCCCCTAATGCAAGGTCTCCCCTTTACCCACTACTTCTCCACTGGGTGCTGTACGTGAATTATGGAATAAGCGGGTATTAGTAAACACGTCTCTTACCTGTTTGCATATGCTTTATACACGAGGGTTTTATGTACGATCTTGTGAGAAAAACCAAGTCGGTTGTTAAAACTGCACAAGCTACCGCAGTAAATTCTGCTACGAGGACAGAGGAGGTTGGGGGCCTCGCAGCAAGGGATCATCAGCGATGGGTGACCTCCGAGTGGGAACCGAGTGACCGCTCAGCTCTGCTCTGACTGAGGGGGGCCAGGACTGTATCCCAGCTCCAGAATCACCCTGGTCAGGCGTTGGAGTTGTGCACTGCTCCGTGAGTGTGCTGGACGGAGGATCCGGTAAAGAGGAAACAGGAGCATCAGTTCGGTTCCAGCCCCTGCTCTTATCAGTTTGACCCGGGGGAGATTCTGAGCCTTTCGAAAGACTTGGATTCTTCATCTGCAAAGATAATCCAGTCTTGGCCATGGGAATGCTGGTACACATAAGGGCCGGCCGGGTGATAGCTGTGATTACCGGAGGGTCTCTCAAAACTCCTCCCCCTTCAAAGGCCATTTCCACAAACAAAAGCGGCTGCGGGAGGTTTGTGTAAGTCCAGGACAAAAGGTTCCTGCAGCTTGGGGTCTCTGTTTAGAAAGGGCCCTGTCTGCTCTTCTTTTTATTTTTTCTTTCAGTTTTTTGAGACAGCAGAGCCTCACGATATAGTTCAAGCTGGCCTCATGGCAGTGCTCCTGCCTCAGCCTTCCCATTGCTGGGATTACACGAGTGTGCCCAGCCCCTGCTTATTTTACCTGGCCTCTTGGCCTCTTGGCCTCCTGGCCTCTTGGCCTCCTGGCCTCTTGGCCTCCTGGCCTCCTGGCCTCCTGACCTTCTGTGTGGGTCTTCAACTGCACCCAACCAGGCCCAAACCAGACATTCTGTCAATCCAAGTATGGGTGAGGGGGTAAGAACAGCCATGCGAGATTAAGTTGCCCACAACTGCCAACAACGAGCCTGAGCCCCCTCGGGCCCTCCAGGCCCAGTTCGACCCCCTCCCCGACAGAGAGAGGTAGGGCCAGGCCACCCGCCCCCCACCCCAGGACATGAACTCTGCATTTCAGGCGCCTGGTTCTCAAGGTGCCCACGTTCCTGACTGACTCCCCTACAAGGAAAAGAAGCCAGTTCAGATTCTTTTTCCCTATCCTAGGCTGTGATTCATCTTTTATAGCTTTTATGAGTTATTAGGCCTTTACATAAGCTTCCCTGGGCTTCTCTGCCCCCAAAGCAGCCAGAGGCACTGGGCCCTGCGCTGTGGGCCTGCCCTTAGGAGCAGCCACCCCTGCCAGCAGGGTCCTCGAAGTTCTCCATCTTTGGAGAGGTTAGAGGGGAGTTTTCTTGCAGTGCACACTTGTCATCCCAGTACTTGGGAGGCTGAGGCAGGAGGATCACCCTAAGTTCAAGGCCAGCCTGGACTGCATAGTGATGCCCTGTCTCAGAGAGACCATGACCAAAAGAAAATATTGCAGCAATCTAGCCAGGCAGCCAGCAGTCCTCATCTCTATCTCTCCATCCACCCACCCACTCCCACGCAGCTGTAGTTCACCTCTGATTGTAAATCATGTGCGCGTGCGGACAGATTGTTCTTCCTGTTCGGTCTCTGGTTCTCAGGACACTCAGCAACAATACCCCATCTAGCCTGGGTTACCGTGAACCGCCTGGCAATCAGGCTTTTTTGTTTGCTAAAACAAAATCTGCATGGGGCTTCCTTTCCCTTTCCAATGTAGGAGAAATTTTCCTGGTCACTGCAATTGCAAAACAATATAAAATAATAACAGAAATTTCCATCTGTCACTGTCTGCCAGGCCCATCACAGGAATTATCTTAAAAACAACCAAAAAAAGACCCTTGCAGCCATCTGCAGGGTGGCAGAGGTGAGACACTGTTTTTGGTCGCCAGCACCCCTCCCCGCCTCGTGCCCCACCTTGCACCCCACTGGAGTCCGTCTCTATTTCAGCACGGTTCTATCTCTAAAACAGAATTCTCTCCTCAGTTAAGATAACCACAGCGTGAGCCGTACACTGAAAGGAAACCAAGCTGGGCTTGGTGGCGCACACCTGCGATCCCAGCACTTGGGAGGCTGAGACAGGGGGATCGCTGTAAATTTGATGCCAGCCTGGATTACATAGCAAGACCCTGTCTCAAAAAACCAAAACCAAAAATAAAACACAAAAACAAAAGAAAGAAAACTGTTTCTGAGATGGTCAAACACACGTATCTACCTTTAAGGCATGTTTTTAGGATCAAGGAGATGTACCCTTCAATAAGAAGTGGCAAGAAAGGGGGGGGAAGGGGACGGGCACGCGGGCAGCGAGGGCCCTCTTCTCGCCCCTTCCTGTTGCAGCCCACAGGATCTGCGATCCCTGAGGCCCTGATACCGGGGACCGGGGACCCTCCTAGCTGGCAGACATGCAGGCTCAGAGCTGAGTGATTTTTCCCAGGCTCATGGCAAGGCGACAGAAGGAGTAGGGCAGTGAGGGGGGGCACCACGAGGGCCCAGAACAGGGCTGGTGGCAGGGCCAAGGGGACAGCAGGTGGCTGCTGTGACCCCTGCCACGGGTGGCCCAGACCATGGCACGTGGGGATGGACAAGACGCAGGGGCACGTGGAGGTCGGTCTCAGCGAGGAGGAAGAGCTCCCCCAGCCCACGGCCAGTCGTTTCCCTGGCGGTCACCTGGACCCTGGTGGCCGACTCACAGAGAGGGAGGGTTATGGGTGCACGCTGCGCGGGCTTTGGCCACAGCTGGGCGACCAGTGCTCTGGGCCCGAGGGGCAGCAGCTGGGTGAGCAGGGCGGCTTGGCTCCGGGCCGGACAGGAAAGGACGAGAGCAACAGGGAGGGGCTGGGGTCAGAGCCGGCCGCGGTCACTGGCTCGCCCCGCCGGGCAGGCGGCTGTGCTTTGGCTGTCTCCATCCCCACGTCTGAGGCCAGTCTCCACCGTGATGAATAACGGATCACAAGGGACTCAAAACGCAGAGCGCACAGCCACGGGGACGAGGCGGGCACCGAGCCAGAGCCCGTGCCGGCCGGGAGGGCTGCTCCCGGGGTTCCCCTGGGGGGATCGGCCGCCTCTCAGTGTGCGGCAGGACTGCACCCTGCCCGCCCCAGCCTCCCTGCGCTTCAGCCCGCCTGAACCGGAACCCTCTGGCTCCTGTGTCCCCAAGGCAGCCCTGAGACGGGGAGAGGCGATGAGACCCCAGTGGGGTGACTTGTGCTCCCTCTCCCGCCCAGACCAGAGCACGCGGACCCCTCAGGGAGGCGAGGCTGCAATGGTCCCCTAGGGGCTCCCTGGGGAAGCTTGACCCCTCCAGGGAGCAGTGCTACCAGGAGCTGGGTGCTGTTAGCACCGGAGTGCAGCGGAGGAGCTGCGTCACTGGGGCGTGAGGGGCGCTGGCCCCACCCCTCCCCGTCCTCAGCTTCGCCATGCGGTTCTGCTTCAGTGCAGGCCTAAAGCGACGGGGCCACGCGGCTACGGATCGGTACCTCTGAAAAGCAGGCGCCAAAACAAACCTTTCCTCCTCGCCCCAGATCACCCCGGTGATCAGTCTTGCCGCGGCAAGACGACCAACAGGAGCAGACCGCACAGATTCTGATTCAGGGCCCTTTCCAGGTGGGAATAAAACGGAGGGGCTCCCCTGAACTCAGCTGCGGCGCCCTGGGGCAGAAACAGGTGTCCTGCATGTCCCCGTGGGGTTGGGCTGGCGTGCATGCTGCCTCGACCAGGGGGCTGTGGACTCCACACGGGACACCCCCCGGGGTTTGAACTTGCACAAAGCCCTTCCACAGGCAGCGCGAGGCTGAGGCGGGGCCAGCTCTCCCAGCCTTCCCCCCTGGTCCGCCTCCATGGTGGGCAGCGCAGGTGGCCCAGAGCGGGTCCTCCCGTGTCACCGGGACAGGGTCTCGAGAAGCGAAGGCAGACGGGCCGGCGGCGGGAGTGTGTGCTCTCATTCAGGTGGTTTCCGCGCCACCCTCAAATCCCTGTTTAAGACGCTGTGCCCCTCCCCCGGCGGCTGGCTTGAGCACTGGTCCCTGCCAGCACCCCTCATGCCCTGTCCTGGTGGGAATCATGTCACCTCTCCCTCTGCAGCACCCCAGGAGCACCACTCTATCAACTTTGGGTCTTAATGGATAGACTTGCTAGAGGTTTGGGGGACCCCCAAGCAATCTTCTTGTTGAGCACCTAGGGACACAGGAAGAGGATGCCACCCGTGAGCCCAGGAGCGTGACCTCAGTGGGACAAGCCCTGCAACGCCAAGCACCTGCTGAAAATCCACTATGGTGCCGGTGAGCGGGTACCCACACTCCTGGGCTCCCAAGGGAGGAAGCACTGCAGGTCACCACAGGGCAGTGAGCGGGCTGGGGCAGCCAGCTGCTGGTGTGCGTGACGCCTGGAGCCGTGTGGGTGTGGACGGCTTCTTGGGGTACAGGAGGTCCCAAGGGAGCTTGGAGGGTGCCCCAAGAGCCAAGCCAACCTGCAGATGGCGAGCACCGGCCGAGCCCAGCAGGTGCCGAGACTCCAGCCGACGCGGTGACAGTCACTGCAGACTGGGTGCGTGGACTGGAAGAGAACTGGCCCTGGGGACCCTGGGGGATGTCCTTCCTGCTCCCCCGCTTCTGGCAGTGGCCGAGAACCCTGGCTGACAGGTGCACCCACAGCTCTGCCTCAGCGTCTGACTCAGTGGCCCCTCGTTCCCTCTCCTCGGGATGCCAGTCCTGTGGGAGCAGAGCTCCTTCCCCAGCTTGGGGTGGCCAAGTTTCCACATGACATCGTCCACCAAGACATTTCCCTGGGGTCACACTCGCAGGTGCAGGGCCAGGACGGGGACACAGCTCAACACAATCCATGGCACAGTCCACGGCAATGAGGGACACGGGGCGGACGGGGGTAGGGGCAGGGTGTGGCGGCAGTGTGGGCAGGCGGGAGCGGGGAGGAGCCTCAGGGGCGGGGAGGGGGCATCGGGTTCTGGGCACAGGCGGGGAGGCGGGGGCGCGGGTGGAGGCACCTTGGCAGGAATGGGGAGCCAGAGCCCCCTCTCTCCTCCCCTCACGCTGTCACTGCCTCACGCTACACAGAAGCCAGAAACCATCTTCCTGCCCGGAGACTGCTGGGCCTGGGCGCTGGTCCCCAGCCTCGCGCTGGCTGCCACTGGCTCTAGGCCTGCACAGGGGCTCTGCCACCTCCCGCCGCCCTGCCGCACGTCCAGGTGGCTTCCCACTCAGTGCCGTGTGTCTGAGGGTGACGTCACCCCCGCGTGGGCAGCACGTCCCTGTGCCATGCTGTGACCATAGGACACCATGCCCATGTCCCCAAGCACGGAGAATCCCTCCTGTTCACTATTTTGGCCGGTGATGCCTGACTCACAGCACCTGGCTGGAGCCACCAGCCTGCCACGTCTTCTGGAAGCTGAGCTCCCTGAGCCTCCAGAAGGGCACATCATGGGGGACGGAGGTGGGATCAGAGCCCAGAGCCCTCAGCGTGGAGCGGGGCATGGCTGCTCAGCACAGCAGCCAGGGACCCTCAGCTCCGTCTCTGTGAGGGCCGACAGGCAGGCGAAAAGGGGAGCTGGGGAACAGGGTGCTGAGGTCACCTCGCCAGGCTGGGTGGCAGTGGGGGCAGCAGGGCCATCCTCACGCCCACAGCTGGCACTGGTCTGGGTGTCCCTGAGCTTGGCCCCGGCCTCCCGCTCACCCAGGGGAGTCCATGGGCACAGGTGACAACTTGAGGCCTTGCCCCAGGGAGGAGGCCTGCTTTGGCCTCGCACTGCTGTCCACAGCTGCCTGGGCACACTGATTCCACATCATGCTTACATTAGCCGTGTGTGTGTGTGTGTGTGCGCTGCTTGTGCACGTGTGTATGTGTGTATGGTGTGCGTGAGTGTGCATCGTACCTAGTGTGTGTGGTGTGGTGTCCACTAAATGGTGTGTGGTATATGAGGCATGTGCTGTGTGAGGTGAGTGTGTGTGGCATGTGTGGTGTGAGATGGTGTGAGGCTTGTGCAGTGTGTGTTTATGTGATGTGTGCTGTACATGAGGCGTGTGGGCTGTGATGTAAGCTGTGGTGTGAAGTGTGAAGTATATATGAGGTGTGAAGTATGTGTTGTGTGTGTGATGTGAAGCGTGAGGTGTGTGCCATGTATGATGCGGTATGTGAGGTGTAGTGTGTGATGCACGTGGTGTGTGGAGCTGTGATGTAAGGTGTGGTATGAAGTGTGAGGTATGTGGTATGGGAGGTGCAGTGTGGGAGGTGTGAGATGTGTGAAGTGTGAGGTGTGTGCGTGAAGTACGAGATGTGTGGTGTGAAGTGTGAGGTGTGAAGTGTGAGGTGTGTGCCGTGTACGGTGAGATATATGAGGTGTAGTGTGTGATGCGTGTGGTATGTGGAGCTGTGATGTGAGGTATGGTGTGAGGTGTGAGGTGTGAAGTGTGAGGTGTGTGCTGTGTACGGTGAGATATATGAGGTGTAGTGTGTGATGCATGAGGTATGTGGAGCTGTGATGTGAGGTATGGTGTGAGGTGTGTGGTATGAAGTGTGAGGTGTGTGATGTGAAGTGTAAGGTGTGAAGTGTGTGGTGTGAAGTGTGTGGTGTGTGAGGTGTGTGAAGTGTGAGGTGTGTGACGTGAAGTGTGAGATGTGAAGTGTGAGGTGTGTGCTGTGTACGGTGAGATATATGAGGTGTAGTATGTGATACATGTGGTATGTGCAGCTGTGATGTGAGGTATGGTGTGAGGTGTGTGATGTGAAGCGTGAGGTGTGAAGTGTGAGGTGTGTGGGGTGAGGGGTGTGAAGTGTAAGGCATGAGGTGTGAGAGCACACATGTCCCGTCAGAGCTCCAGGCCCTGCCCTGCAGTCCGTGCCCACCACACCCACCTGCTGCCCCTGTAGAGGAGCTGCGCTCCACACCTGTCGCTGCTGCCCCACCTACCCCGCAGCTGGCCCTGGGCACCCAACACCTGTGCCTTGGGGTGCAGACCCACTCCCCGCTCCACCTTCCCAGCACAGCATGACCCTGGCAAGGACTGGACATGTGTCTGACGGTGGCCCTGTGCCCTGTGGGACCCTGGAGGAGAATGGGTAGTGGCTCCTGGGCTCACTGTCGGGAGCCTGTGGAGCGAGCAACCTGTGATCCTGGACCTCCAGGACCCACCAGAGGGAGCCATCTTGGGGACCGTCCCCTGTCCTCGGCGAGGTGAGGGTGTGCTGGCATCTGCGCTCAGCCTCCTTGGCACAGTGCCGCCGGGCGGGCGAGCGGTCACTGCAAAGAGCTCGGGAGACAGGGGCCGAGGTTCAGCAGAGACGCCTGCCTTGGAGCTGTGATGAGTTGGACGTGAAGGGTGAGGCTTCAAACGCACTGTGCCAAGGGGGGTGGAGGCAGACTGCACCCTCAGACCCCAGAACCAACGCGCGGCGGCAGACAGGCCAGGTGACCAGACCCCACCTAACGCTGCCCCAGTCACTGCCAGCCTGACAGCTCAAGCTGCAGCGCGTCGGTGTGGAAATGCTCCCGGCTGAGCCCAGGAGAGCTTGGGGTGCTGACCCTCCGACCCCCGCCATCCTGCTTCCTGGAAGCCCAAGCAGCTCCAGGGCTGCATGTGGGGCTGGGGCTGGAGGCAGGCGCGCCAGCAGCCAGGTGGCAAAGCCCAGTGGGCGCCTGGGCTGGAGGGGACCCTTCCCAACACAGCCGCTTCACCTGCAACACGCCCGCCCTCTGCCCTGCTCCAGGGAATGCACCCGGGCTCGGAGGGATGGATGGAAGCCAGGGGCCATGGGACAGCCAGGAGCAAGATGACGGGGTCTCCCGGGACCTGGGGACTGGGCTGCCTTAGATCCGCAGCTTGGATAAATCAACAATGAACAAGCAAGCAAAAACAAGGACACGGAGAGGGTCATCTGTCCAGCGCGGCCACACAGCTCCTGGGTTCAAAGGCAGAGGAACTGGCCACAGCCGGCGTGCTCAACAGCGAGGTCACAGCAGGCACCCACTGTATGATCGCATCTCACAAGCCCCCGCCTTCCCCGGGCCCACCGGCCCCACACCTGTGCCGTACAACACACTCTATACACCATCGCACCAGCTAGGTCTTCATGGACCCATTCGGCTGTGACTCAGGAGACAGCAGGGCTCTGGGACACAGGAAGACGAGAAGCCGGCCCTGTGAGAGCCAAGGAGACAAGCATGCAAGTGGCTGGAGTCTCTGAGCATCAGACGGAATAGATGAGCTCAATGAGGTCCAGCCACACAAGGGAATATTACTCAGTCGCAAAAAGGGAAGGAACTAAACCTCAACACACTCCAGTGTGGATGGTTTCACTCATCTGTGGTCCCTAGAGTGGGGAGACTCCTAGACAAAAGCAGGATGTGGAGCCAGGGGCTGGGGTGGGGATGAGGAACGTTTCATGGGGACAGAACTTCATGCTGGGAAGATGAGAAACACCTAGAGCCGAACTGAGGGGACGGTACATGGTGATGGTTACATGAAGGAAGTTAATGACCCCGAGCTGTGCACACACACTGGCTGAAATGGTACATTCTATGTCACGAAGTGTTTGCTATAATTTTTAAAAAGTAAATTAAGGAAAAAATTTAAGGCCGGGTAATCCCCCTGGGTGCTCTGTCATTGCTTCTAGGTCATGCGTTCCGCGGTTGGCGCATTTCTATTCAGGACCTGGTGAAGAGGCCCGAGTGTGGTCCTGGGACAGGGTGCAGCTGCGGCTCTGCAGAAGCAGAAGTAAACACTCAGGGGGCGCTGGGGATGCGGGTGTGGGCAGTGTGTGCCAGGCAGGACCCTCCAGGTGGACGCCGCAGTCCCTCTGTGTCTGGGAGCATGGCCCGCTGGGTCACCTGCAGCCAGGGCAGTGGGACCGTGGGGAGGGCGCAGTGTGTGCCCCCTGCAGGGCGGGAGGCTGTCACTTGCTCACCACCCCCGGCTCCCAGCCCAGCTCCTGAGCAGGGACACCAGGCGCCTTGCTGCTGGCTGCTGCCCAAGGCACACTTCGCCCAGGGCTGGCACTGACCCCGCCTGTGTGTCCTTGTTCCATCTCTCATCTGCACAGCAGCTCATCCGTGCACCCTGCGGACACCATGCCCTTCCTCTGCCCCTGTCGCAGTCTCTGATGGCCAGAGATACGCTGTCACATCTCCGGAGCCTGTGGCCTTGCACCCCTAATGTCATGCACTGGCGGGGTACTGGCTTCTTTGGCTCCAGATACCAATCCACCCATTTCCAACAAGTCAGGTCAAAGATGACGGTGTCTCGGGCAGTGGGACCCAGGGTTGTGAGGCCCTTGGCACTGCCACCTTTGAGGGCACAGCCTTTGGCAAGCTGCAGGTCAAGTGACCGGGGGCCCCTTACTGTGGCTCCCACGGGGTCTGGAGCGGTAGGTCTGGGCTGTGGGCAGTACCCAGGCGCTGTGTGGCCAGGCCGGAGACTGGGAGGGCATCTCAGCCTCCTGAGCACGAAAGGCATCCAGACACTTGACCCATCTGACTCACCATCATCTGCACAGTGGCTCTCTGGGGACGTCGCCACCCACCCACTTTCCAGAGGAGAAAGTGGCTTCCCCATCTCCCGACCAGCAAGGAAGGAGATGGATGAACCAGGCTGGCCGTCCGGGAGCCAGGCCCTCTTGTGCAGGGACCCGTATGTGCCAGGGAGAGGGTGTGCTCTGAGAGGTCTCCAGGTGTGTCTGGTGCAGCTCGGGCCCCGGCCCCCTCCCGACCTCCGCATGCTGGGAGTGTCTGGCTGAAGGGGTCCTCAAGTCACAGCTGTGGGGATGAGGAGGCACCAGCCACTTGCTCCCTGTGTGCTCTGCGTCCCTGGGCTGGAACTTGGAGTCCTGGTCACTTTCCCATGGTGGGACAAAATGCCAGACACCTGAAACTTATTGGAGGAGGAGAGGTTTTGGCTCAGGGTCTCAGTGGGTTTCATCCATGGCACGCTGCTCCAAGGAGGAAGCGGCATGGTGGGAGGGTGTGGCCAGGAAACCTGCTCACTGCGCTGCAGCCAGAATCAGGAAGCAGAGAGGGAGAGGAGAAGCGCCGAAGAGGAGCGTGGGACAAGAACACACTCTTCCAGGCCGCACCCCAGTGACCACCTCCAACCTGCTCCACCTCCTACAGCACCTTCAGCTACCGAACTCCCATGAGCCAATCTCGCCTTCCAAAAGCCCGCCTCTGCACGTTTAGATCTAAACCTTAACAGCACATCTCTTGGGGTCCTTTCTGGACAGCATGCTGCAGCACCCCAGAAATCTAGGAGTGAAGGTGGGAACAAGGCTTCCTTCCCTGGCTCCCTGCCTCATGAGCCCAGCCTGCCATGTCCATGTCTGTTTAAGGACCCTAAGTAATAAACGTGTCACAGGAAGATGGATTATAGGGGAACCGGCGAGGTCAGCCAGCGGGAGCAACTCTCCACCTGGGCGTGGTGAGGGTGGGACAGTGGCACCGTGGCTGGGGGACATATGCATTCCAGCACAGGGGAGCAAGAACCCACAGCAGGTCACCACGGGTAGGGGGAGCCTGGTGCCTGAGTTCCAAAGCAAAACAAGATTCCCACCAAGAGTGGCCCAGGACAAGGGAAGGACGAGACCGGCTGGGGGTCACCCATGGCTCAGCCACGCAGCCACAGGGGTGAGGTGGGGCCAGGCACACTCTTCACAGGAAGGTGAGGTCCTGCAATGAGGCTGAGCCAGGGCCCACTGGGGACACAAAGAAACAGGCAGCCAGGAGCCAGGTTCCCCGGGCAGGGAAGAGACCCGTGGAGCAGGCCAGGTCGGGTAGGAAGCCCAGGGCTGCCTGGGGAGCTGAGCTCCAGCAGGGTAGGCACTGGCACCGCACCAGGAGGAGCCCTCTGGGGACCCCTGACCAGCTCCCTAGTGCCCTCTGGCTTTGCTTGTTCGCTCCCTGCTTTACAACAGAAACCTTGCAGCAAAACTCAAGAGGCTGTTCATGCATTAAGACCTGGCTCCAGCTGCAAAGCCAGGCGGGGACGAAATCACGGCAGCCCAGCAAGGCCGGGGCTGGGACACACAGAGCACAGACTCAGCTGGGGGGAGCCCCATGCCCGGGCACGGCATGGGCAGGGCTTGGGGATACTGGGTCTCGTGCAGACATGGCCTCTTGACGAACCCAAGGCTACAGCTGCCTCCGGCCCCGAAGCCTTCTTTTGCCTCAGGATTTTGGCAAGCCCAAGTCCGGGGGCGCCACCAAGCAGGGCCCTCCAGCATTTCGAGGCGCAGCAAGGTGCAGTGTCCTGTCCCTGTCAACCCTGGGTGCAGCCGCTGAGTGACAAAAGGAAGAAAGGCGAGTACAACCCTCTGGGTAAAAAGGGTGTTAGCTGTCAAAGGCTGGCTTCCCACTTCCTGCCCCTCCTCCTCCAAGGGCCCACCTGGGCTGCCTGTGGCCCCCACTTGTGCGCCAGCCTGCAAGTGAGAGGTGTGGAGGTGCAGCTGCACCGTGAGGCTGCTCCCGGCCCCGGGCAGCTCCGAACCCCACAGGCCCCGTGCGGAGAGAGGCCCCTGGGCTCTGTGCACCACCGGGCCCTGCTGTGTCCTCCTAAGATGTCTCAGCAAGCCAGGGACCACTGCTGTTTACTCATCCGTGTGTTCTTCCAGGGACCCAGGCCCAGGACTTGGCTCAGGCCGGGCAGACCTGTCTGAAGGCGGCAGAGGCTCAGCTACAGAAGCTCAGCGATTTGCTTCATGTCATCTGTCCCGTCAACAGCTGGCCTCACTACCTCACTTCACAGTTGGGGAAACAGGCACAGAGGTGACGGGGCCGCTTCCCGGCTCCGAGCTGACCCCCACTTGTCCAGCCTTTGGGGCACGACATTTTTCATGTGGCCCAGGACAAGGCCATCCCTCCCAGCCACTACTGCACAACCAGGGAAGGCAAGAGCCCCAAATTCCCACTGCAGGTCTCCACTGAGACCTCACCTCCTTGGGAGAGGGGATCTGGAATTTTACTCCTACTGAGCAGGCTGCCAAGTCGCTGCACTGTCCCCTCTGAGTCCTGAAAATTCCACTGTGGTCGTGCTCACAGGTGACACCAGGGCCCATGCTCCCTGAGCTTGGCCCACACAGGGGCACCACGGAAGCCAGGGCTTTGGCCGTCACCTTCTTCATCCCATCTCTGCACTGTCCGGGGGAGCTGAAGTGGTCAGGAGCTGGCAAGCAGAGGGACGGAGAACAGAGATAATGCAAGGACATGCGCTTGCCTGTCACAAGGAAGGATGGCCGAAGTGACAGAAGGCAGCACACACCCTTGTCTCCTCCTCCCTGGCCATGCCCTCTCCTTGGAAGCAATGTGGGTTTGTCCCTGACTCTAATGGGGAGGACATGGGACGGATCTAGGAACACAGAAACGATTGCATGCTGGGAACTTTCGGATGTGTGCAGTGCCTGGAGCTTGCAGGAACGGCAAGGAATGGCAGCCGATGGAGCGTCGCAGAGAGCTGACACACATGTTTCCAACATAGCTGCTGGGTGCACGCGGGAGGGCAGGACATGCCAGCACACATTCAGGAACCCCAAAGACCTGGTCTCAACCAGGACAAGAGGTCCAGCCCGAGCACCCAACCACCAAATGACAGAGAGGCGTAAACAGTGGCAGAGTGGCCAGCAACAGCAGCATTCAGGACCATGGCCAGCCTCCTGCCCCCTCCCAGGGCCAAGGGCTGGGTGTGGAGCAGACAGCTGGCCCCGCGGGTGAGGAGGGGATGCCCTGTGATGCCATCAGCCACAGTTCACTTCCCGTGACAGTCCGTGAAGCAGACATCTGCGCTCCTCCTTGCACACAACTCAACACCCGACCTCCAGGGCTGGGCTGCGGGGCCTTCCTGGAGGTCCCCCGCGCTCCCGGGGTCACCTGGGAAAAATCCACCCCCAGCCCCAGGGTCCGCCAGCACGTTCCACCCTGCTCTTCACTTTCCACCCGCTTCTGAGCAGCTTCCTGGGGACGTTGGGCACGTCCTCAGGGAGGACCTGCCACCCCTGGCCAGTGACAGCGCCTGTTCATCTTATCTCTTTATAAAGATGAAGGAGGCAGATCCTTCCCAAAGTCTCACCCGGCTTTGCTCCAGTGCTTCAGGGAAAATGTCTGTGCATGAACGTGTGCACATGTTTGCACACGTGCGTGAGCAAGTGTACCATGTACATTTGTACGTGTGCTTGTGTATGGCTTTGTGTGCATACACATGAGAGTGTGCGGGCTGGTGCTGCAGCACGGGGTAGGGCCCTTCCTTCCTTTAGGGAGAAGGACGCTGTTCCATGCCAGTCCCGGAAGTCAGCGGACCTGGTCCTATGCTGCATGCGCCCTTGACCCACCGCCCACAGTGACATAGAAGCTGGACACCTGTCCTTGAAGATGCCTTGGAGTCCCGGGGAGTACAGAGGGTGGACCTCTGCGCCTCTGGCCCCCCAGAACCAACGTGGGGGCGGCGCACAGGCTCCGCTGGTCTAATGAGCTACCCGGGGGCACATCTCAGGCTGGGGAGCGCTCCCCGGTGCCCGGTGCCGGCCCTCCTCGGGCGGCAAGGTGAGCGGCAGCCGGCTTCCCTGCCACAGCCGGCTGAGGGAGGTCCCTGCCAGCCGGGGTCCCCGCGGTGGCCCAGGGAGGTTAGGGAGT